GACACCATGGTTTTATTTATGAATGTTTCCTTTTTTTCCGGACTTTCGCATTTGTAGTTGTGACCACTATGGTGTGATTTTGATTGTGTGACATTACAGTCACAGAGCGCACAAATCTTGCCATGTGTTCTTTAAGAGAGCCAATGTGGTGCAGACGATAGCATGTCAGACTAAGATCTGGGAGACCCAGGTTTGAATCCTGTTCTGCCATAGAAACTGGATGGGTGACCTTGGGTAATTCACTGTCTCTCAGCCTAACCCTCTCACTGGGGTATAGTGAGGATACAACAGCGGAGATGAGAATGACGTAGGCCACTTTAGGACCCCACTGGGGAGAAGCGTGGGTATAAATGAGGTAAATAAACAAACCCCTCCATATATTTCTCCATTACAATCACCTAGGATGGGTTTTGTTGTCTTCTTACGAAAGAATGTCTTCAGTGGATCATTTTTCTCTCGCACAGCTAAATCCAGACTGACAAAAGAAAGAGTTGTTAGGAGTGTACTTGGCACTGAGTTAACCATCACCCTTTCTTTTCTTTTTTTCACTGATCAGCAACTAAGGAGAAACGCCATGGGTTCAGGTCCCTCAACAGAAGGCATAGAAGAGCAATGGGAAAAGCTGGAGAAAGATTTGGAGAAGGAGAATAATGATTTCACTAAACTGACAGAACGGACTGTTCAGAAGCTGAATTTATTAATGAATGCCAAACTTGACATCGCCATCACAGGGCTGACGGGTGCTGGTAAATCATCACTTGTCAATGCCCTTCGAGGAATGACAGACGATGAAGAAGGTGCAGCTGAGGTTGGGGTAATACAAACAACCCTGGAGAGAAAGCAATATCCACATCCCAAATTCCCAAATGTAACACTATGGGATCTTCCAGGAGTTGGGACATGTGAAGTTAAAGCACAGGAATACCTGCAGAAGGTACATTTTACGGAGTATGACTTTTTCATCATCGTTGCCTCTGTTCAATTCACAACAAATGATGTTATGCTGGCCAAAGAAATTCATAAAATGAATAAGAAATTTTACTATGTGCGCACTAAAGTGGATACCGATATAGAGTCTGAAAGAAGGCGACAAAACTTCAGTGAGGAAAAAACCCTTGAGAAGATAAGGAAATATTGCTGTGATAATTTGGCCGAGGCAGGGGAATTTCATCCAAGAGTTTTTCTTGTCTCTAGTCATTATTGGAGTAGGTATGATTTCCAGTCTCTACTAGAGTTCATGGGAAATGAACTGGATGAACTCAAGAGATATGCATTAAAAACAGCATTCTCAAATTCCTCAAAAGAAATACTGAAACAGAAGAAGGCTGCTATGAAGGCCTTAATAGGGAAAGTAGCCCGTCGATCTTCTACTATGGGGGCCAGGCCAGTCCCAGGTCTTTCTCTTGTTTGCAATATTCCCTTCTTGAAGGAAAAAATGAGAGATTTCAGCACGGTCTTTGGCTTGGATGAAGATTCCCTCCATCGACTTGCAAAAAAAGTTGGCAAACCTTTTCCTACGTTGAGTTCAGCAATCAAGAAGACCAGAATAGCAAGCAAAATTGACAATGAATTTGTACAGACTCTATTGAGTAGGATGTTCAGATATGAAAGAAGAAGACGATGGAAAACATTTCTTTTTCATTATTATTCTAGGTTGTTTTCTCGGTTTGGTAGAGCTAAGTCTTCTGCAGCTATCTCCCACATGCTGCAGAGATTTCTGGATGATGCTGAGGAAGATGCTGAGAACGTTTTGGCAAAAGCAGTTGGGAATTAAGAGCCCAACAGTGGAAAAATTCCCTTCTGGAGAATGCAAGCACACAACCTATGAATTGCACGGACAAGACAAACCACCAGGCCTAGCATTCATACTTCCTTGTTGTTTCTTGTTGGAAGCACATTCTGCCCCAAGAGAAAAAAAAATCTGACAAACGCTGAAGATGATGATGTTGAAGATCCAAACTACCCATCCCAACAGAGAAACTGAAGCACCAATCTACAGATCATGAAAGGGATCTAGAAGCTGAGAAAGAACTTCTGAGTGGGAGTCCCTCGCCTACACACTTTCCCCTACATTTTGGAGTAGACTGTATGATTGAGTACCACAGGGGCAAATAAGGAAAATGTTAGATTTTCATCACAGAAGCTCTTTCTTTGTGCTCAATTCAATGTACTCAGTGCCCAGAAGCCCCACAGGAATTGTGGACATCCCGTGCTGATGTCCCCAATTTCCTGTTCCAGATCAAATACTTTCTGGTGGCACTGTTCAGAACATTGAGTGTTGCTGCAAACTGGGGTGCCACT